TATTAGTTATGATTCTTTGCCAGGATGTATTTTACCTGACTGATAAGTTTTAGTCATGTCATAGTTTATTTTGTTTTTGTACTTTTTCTTTTTTGCCTATTTCCTGTACAAGCGCCTCTCTTATTATTAAGAAGCAAGTAAATCAAGTAAGTTAATCTCAGAAAAAAATAGAACACGGCCCAGTATTTCTATATCTATGAATCTTCTAGTTTTTACTGGCATTTTTTGAATGCTTATGGTATGCCAAATCTTGTAAATTCTACACACACACTCTCATGTAGTGAGCACAAACACTTTTTAGGGTAGCTTGTAATTATTAACTCCTGTTTAACAGATGAAACTGAGGCATAAAGAGGTAGAATCTCTTCCTTATGGATACACAACTGTTAAGTAACGGAGCCAAGATTTTAACATGGAGAACCTGTCTTAAAACTCATATTCTTAACTATTAGGCTAAACTATTTCTGTAAGTACAATTATAAGACATTTAGACTTAGAGTGAATAAAGAAAATATATGATTGAGAGAGGGAATTGTCATACAAGGAAGTTGACACTAAATTGCTGGTTCTATATACTATGATAAAGGCTATTACTACTGTGATTACTGTTCATCTTAGACTTTTACTTGGTAATTATTATTATCGTTATCATAGCTATTATTAACAACAGGTAATATTTTTAGAGCACTTGTGTGCTTGTCATTTTGCTAAGTGCTTTATGTAAATTATCTATCTCCTAATCCTCATAATGACCCTCTGAGGTAAGTACTAATTTCCCCATTTTATAGATGAAGAAATTTAGACTGGGAGATGTTATGTAATATATTCAAGATCACATGGCTAGTAAGATTGAAACCCAACCAGTTTTATTTCAGAATCTGTGTCTTTTACCTTTATGGCATACTGCCTTCCATTGTAGTTTGTTTAGGTAAGACTCACTGAGCAGTGTGGAGAAAGGTAAATCAGTTCCAAGGAAAGCAAATTATGTAATCCTTTTTTTTCCATTGAACTGAAAATTTTATTTTCCGTTTAACAAGGAAGAGCTGCTCGTGTGTGTGTGTACACACACACATTTCTTGATTAAATTCTTACATAGTAAAATTTGTGATCATGGCAAATGGGTATGGTAGTCTGTCATTTTTATTGTTGATAGTCACTAATACTGTTAGAATGGATGGCAGAATTTTTAAAGAATTAGCATATGAAAAACAATACATATCATGAAAAGACTGAACATAATTTGGAATCACTTTAGGATTCTGTACTACCTCAGGCATGTTTATGAAATTTGATTTTCATTATGCCATTGATGTAAGGAAGTGCTACTCTGTAGCTGTTTCTGTTTG